CAAAATGTTCATATCTCTTATTGTAGGCACACAAGGTGTTCACAGCTCCTCTGATGTAGTTTTTGGTTTCCCAGGTGCTTTTGTTCTCTTTTTCACGAGTGAATGCAGTAGTGCGAGTGTAGCAGCGGTGTCCGCTCACCAACTGATATCCTCAGATGATGGTGGGGCCCAAACCTAAAAGGATGACCGCCTGACGGAGAAGCCAAACCTCCAGTGAAGAGTGGGAGAGTCCACGGCCAAGACAGGACGTGACGGAAGTGTGCGCACTCCTCCAGTGTATCCAAAACAAAAGTATACACCGAGTGGAACTCACCAACATCAGAGTGCAACCCCTATCCCAGAGGACTCATAGTCCAGTACACGGAGTTGACATCAGAACTACTCTGTAGCTGATGATCACATGATAGTCACCTGACTCATGTTATGATCTTCTCTTCCCTCAGAAAATGGCCCTTTCTCAATATGCTGACACTGGGACCTCTCCTACCACACAGGCCAAAACAGATTGAGACCAGACACAGTGTCCCTATGTTGATGTCCTACTCACGCACTATCCTGACAATGGCAACGGAGGTTAGTAGTATGGATTGTAGGTACTGTGTTCTACTGTATATACTCATTCAGACAGAAGAATGCAGACAAGCAAACACCCAAAGGTTGAAAGGCTGCAATGCCTCGTTACTTGTTACCAATTATTACATGTCTCCCCACCCCCTACGGACACATGGAGTCAGTGATGTCACTGTTGTGTGTGTGGGCAGGTCGTTTGAAGGAGATAGCAAGGGTCTGGAGTTTGTTGAGGATCTGATTGATGAGATAAGACACCAACAACGACCCTGATGAGGGCTGTCTGCAGGTGTGTGGGGGATGTGGTCCACCAACTACAGCCATCCTGGGAGAACTGTCTCATGTACTGAAGAACTGGGGGAAGTGGGAACTGGCCCGCAGGTCGGGAGTGAAGGGTGTGTAATCCTCAGCACACCACATGTACGGCAACAGATACACAGTTTGGTTATATGTTTTTGTGCCTCCATCTGCATGTCCATTTGCGTTCACTATGCAACAATTAATGTAAGTGCCACTCTGGTAAGGTTTGCTAGGCTCTGCTATCAGATGATATGAAAGCACTGTCACTACTGGTTAGCAGTAATACTTATTATCATAATAGAGTATTGTTGAGAAGTTGTAGCTTTATAAAGTACAAAACAATCACAGGAAAAATTTAAATAGTGTACATTGGCAGCCGTGGTACGGAATGACTACATGAAGAGAATGTTGGTACAAACATTTTGTGCTGAGGTTTCATTCGTAAAACACCCGCTACTGTACTATTTCCTGTGCCCACCCCAGAGTCTCAGCCACAAGTCAAGTCCTTCAGTGCACTAGCAAGGTGATAGTGAGGTGGTTACTGGTACTCATGGAATACACACCGCCCCTCACTGACAGCAATATTAGGAAACATAGGAGTCGAGGTATGAGCATAGAACCACGAGAGCCCCAGAATATCTATGTCATCATCGCGCAGAAATTGATGGCATACGAGAGCAAAACCAGTTGTTCCCATCCTCTGCTCTGTCCTGGTGATTAGAAAGTTATTACTGCTATACAAGTGTGGAGGAAGTATCATACCAAGTCAAGAATGTGAGCCACAACTCCCATGTGTCCTAATGAGCCTGAAATCAGTTTCAAACACCACATAATGGCTTTTGCACAATATTATTGTACATGATCAAGTTTATGCGTAGTCTTCTTCTAATGTGCACAACGATTTTCCATTTCCTTCCTATCCTAATTTTAGTGACACTGTGTTGCACTGCGCTGCAGAAACTGCTGGGGAGTCTATAGACTTTAATAATGCTAGTGTTCATGACACTCAGTTACAGCTGTGCCTAAAAATCCTGTCTCTTACTTGCAACACTGACTCAATGTGATGTTTGTGCATTATTGCAGATATGAAACTGAGTTGTATACCTAAGTCCAAGTTTTGTGTCTCGGTGTGTACACTGTAGTTTTTCCTTTGTAGTGACTACTACCTTCTTCCACAAACCTAAGAGTCGCTACATTCTTAAGGTAATACTTACATACAAACCCTCTTGTTAACGTTGATATTATGCAGTGATGTGCCTGTGTGGTTGTAGTCAACATCAATGCCCGTCCTGGTGGTTAGTAACTGCTAATGGTAACATTTTTGATCTCATAGATATTTCACTATCATTACTGAGGTTTTAACATCGCAAACAGATGGCTTCAGGCAGATGTCTGTTGCCAGATCTGAACCGACAAGCAAGCCAACTGGTAAAATGATTTCGCAATACATCGTAGTTGATTGTGCAGCTGCTGTCCTACATGCAGAGCTCAGCCAGATTCATCTCACCCTGGATGTGGTTGGTAGCTATGAGGTTGTGAATGGGGTGGAACGGGCAATCCTACCTTTTGATGACAAGATAGTGGAAAACAGGAGCTAAGGGTGTGTAAAATACACATGATTGTAGCTGATTCTGCAGCATTGGTACAATAAATATTTTGTCCCAGAGCACAATGCCAAATGATCTTCAACCTTTACCATATCTGAACAACTTCACTGTGCAAGGGGGGAAGAGTATGATAAAGGTGTACTGTGATAGATATATACCCATCAATTTTCTGTGACGTTATTTATTAGCCCTAGCAGAAAGCACTTTGACAACCAAGGGCAAGAGACATCTCACCTTTGATACTCCAATGTTTTTTGTCCATGGTGCTGGAGGTATAAAAACGGAGAGTTGTTTTGCTGAGGAAAACATTGGTGTTCTTCCGGTGGAATAATGAAGGTCAGTGTACACCTTCACAATGAGCTTGTTACCCAAACTTGTAAACAGGAGAAGAAGACTCTCATCCCGACCCAACTGGATCTTGGAGACAAGGATCAGCAGACAACTCCTGCACTGTCCAGGTTTATTAGATTTCAATGCTTGCAATATACGTAACCCATTGACAAAAATGTTTCTTGTTAGGGTATGCCATGGATGTGGTGCCAGGTTTGTCCTATTTATGGCATTTTAGTGGTTTTTACATTCAGTGTCTGCTTTCACAGAGGGTGATGACGTAATCCCTTTGGAATGTAGCGATGAAGCGGAAGAGCTCCGCGGATTATTTGGACTTGCAGACATCCTGCCTACCTTGCCACACAAAGATGAAGCCAAAGAAGGTATATATTTTGATAGAAGTGTATGAATTTCATTTAACTGTTGAATTTTTATAGGAGCGCTTGTTGTGGGAGGTCTACATGAGAATATCAGCCTCCTCGACCTCAGTTCTGTTGAGCCATCCCCAGCTGGCAGTTCAGGCCCCAGCCTGAGGAGTCCACTTCTCTCCAGTCTGAGATCCAGCCACAAGAGAGTAGCCATTCATCTGAACCAGTCCCCAGACACCAGGGGAGAGAGAATGACATGACCAAACCCATGGAGTGGCCAAGGTCTGTAGGATTAGACAGCAGCTGCCCGGCATTGTGTGTCATGTTTCCTGGTCCTCCTCCACAGACAACAACCAAGGGGTGCTGGTCATAGGAGGGACTTGCAAGAGTTGGGAGTGCCCCTGTCATGCCACTCCTGATGACAGACACCGAGACGCTGTTGCCTGATGCCATATATCGAACATACTAGATTTGTGACTGTGTAGTTGTTAGAATACTTTGTTGGTTTACCTAGCTAGTTTAAATGCTGGACTTTCAATTTTTATATGTGACAGGGCTCTGCACATACCGTAATGTTCTACATAATTATGCGCAACACCACAATATTCAACTGCTCACGCTCGCTCACCAACAATGTGTTGCATTCCTCTATAATTTATTATGCTCTAATCCAACATTGAACAAAAACTTGGCTGCGAGTTCCAATGATGCATAGTTTGCATTGCGTGGCGCACACACACACACACACACACACACATGCAATTTGTTGGCATGCTTGTTATGATTCATTAGTGTGCTGTCATGTGACACTGCTTACTCAGCACTGTGAATACCATATCTAAACATCATGCCATAATGTCTGGAGTACCACTGTTACATACTAACCCACAGCCACATTATTCAAGTGGTACATCATGTGTCTTATTCAGCAGCATCTATTAATATGCAATGACACTAAAACCAGTAACACACATTATGACGATGAATGCACAGCATAGGCCACATTCTGGTCAGTTGGTATTGTCGTGGTGACATAGGCTGTGTTGGGTTCAGTTGGAATGACAGAGGATGGGTGGTGGTTGGGGAAGAACTACCTCATCATACACCACAGCATTTCTGGTCTGGAAACCTGCTGCAAGAGAATACACACACAACTGTGAACTAGAACCTTACTGCAGCAGGTTTGGGAGTAGATTCTTGCTTGTGACCACAAATATGCATGTGCTGTGACCTGTGTGACGGTTATGATATACCGTCTGACCATCACCAGGGACCACAACTGCTGAGACACATACTATAACACACACCAGTTACTGTGCCTGTGATATGATAATAATGCAGTGAGGGTTCTGAGTTCAATGTTCCACTGTAAACACCTACCTACGGATATCGAAACAACCAATGCTTGGGAATTGTGTGTTTCCTCTATCCCACTGTCTGTTTCCCCTTTCGGATCAGGTAGCTCTATGAAAAATTGACACTGTGCGAGATGCTCATGATTAACACTGTTTACATAACTGTCATTGCTGTGAGAAAATGCTTACCAGAGTTACTGAATTTTGAGTATACAGCAGTGGCTCTTTCATCTAACTCATAGCGCATTCTTCCCAAACAGTGCAAAGGTATAGTTCTCAGGGTTGTCCACAGCGATAGAGACAGGGAAATCAAAGAGTTGGGGAATGTCCACCACTGTCAGGAGAGGACTGCCATACTCTCTGTAGACCAGGACACATGAGGCCTCGGGATAGACCTCTGAGAATTCACAGTCTATCACTACAGTTGATCCTCTTGGGATATGCTGGCACTCTTCAAAGTAGAGGAAGGTTTAACTATGTCAGCATCTGTAAACAAAGCTTTTAACATTGCTAAGAAATTGCAATGGCTGACCTGAGTTTATCAATATCTGGTTCTCTAGAAGATAGCAGGCATGGTGTTAGGTAGTCCATTCTCCTCAAGGTCATATCCATACACAGTGTAAGTGGAGGGAGGGACAGGTACAGTGGTGGAGACAGTGTCCTGAGACTGGGTCCTCAGGAGAGCTCTGAAGACGTCAGGAGAGGAGGGAGGTCCCTGGAGGACTACCAGACATCCTGTAGCTCGTGACCCACTCATGAACTCCCCTCTCACTAACACTCCTCCTCTTCTCTTCCACTGACAGACTCTGGACATCATAGGTTGCTGTATACATATCAGAGAACTAGTATAGACACACACTCATTGGTTGTCTTTACTGAAGTATCATGGATACATTCACAGGTCCAGCAGCTGTGAACACTTCAAAGAATATGCTAAAGTTTTTGTTTGCAGAGAGTGTGTATGTTGAAACTCGATGGTTGGAGGACAAGAAATATTTTTTAGGTCCGTATCAGACACTCCATGAAGAATGTACTCATTATCCTCTTCGTTGTGTGCTGTAGACACTGGCTATGAGTATAAGACTATCTGTAAGAGTTTACACCTACATAAGTAACTGCAACATCATCAAAAAAGCTTTGATATGAGTTCTGATGAAAGTAGCCTTCTCTAAAAGAGAAAATATCTGAACTATATTTATAGCTCATGCTCAAGGGACCAGCTCTGGGTTGCAGAGTTAAAATGACATACATAGGTAATGTGGGACTCCTCTCTCCCTGGCCAGCTCCATTGAGGGGGTGACAGAGAAGTTGTACACATGACAAGGACTGAGGTAGTCAGGAGTGAAGGTGTAGTGTGTCTCAGTGATATTGATACAGTCAGTACAGAGGATGGCTGTTGGGTTGTTCTCATCTGTCACATTGTAGATGAGGACAGAGTACCAGAATCAGGATCAACACCAGTCACATCCAGAGAGAATGGAGCACTCCACGAGATGGTCACTGAGCTGGTACTGCTAATGGAACTACACCAGTGACTGCTGACAGTGGACCTGGATATCACTGGAAGACAATTTCGTAACTTGTAACAATACATGTACCTGAATGATCAATGTAACATTGTCACTCTCACGAGGGGCCACGAAATATCACGGAAGCACATGAACTCTAGTTCCATTGTACTGGGTCTGGCTGGGATGGTCAGAGTGCACTGAACTCCCTTCGGAGTGGTAATCTTTCTGAGAGAACCAGGTCATACGTATGTCAGGCAGAAAGTTGATCGCTGTGTTCCATTGACTCGCCACAGAGTGTCTCTCACCGCGGCGGTATCTGTCGTCAGCATGTAACGTGCGATGGTTTGTTTTCTTAGAAGGACAGTTGTACCCTATCTCGGGAGCATGCAGACTCTCTGGAGAGAGAAGATAAAATAGACAAATTCTGATCAGATTATAGACTATACACCTTGGCCACCACAAGATAAGAAGCAACAGAGCACCAACTAAACCTATGGTAGAGGTTCCATTTGATTAGTCTCCCGCCCTCTCTCTCTCGAGGCTTACCGGTACAGAAAACTAAGACTGCTGAGTCAGCACAACCAAGAAATCTCATTATTTTCTAGAGAGAGAGGGCGGGTCTGGGTACGGGACTGATACGAGAGCTGAGCAGCGCATCATCGATTCTTTGTAGATTGGTGAGCTTCGTTTCTCGCAGCGATCTGATGCTCCTCATTCCTCTCCGTTCGTGAGCAGTGGACGTCACTTTCTCCCATGAAAAGCGCACTTCTGAAGCTTGCGTACTACGCGCGCGCGCGTAAGTACCACGCATGCGCAACGCTGGCTGTCGGCGAGATGACTCATGCGGAGCTTGCGTTCCATAGGGCTAGTTCCTCGGCGGTCATGAATAGAGTTGTAGGTCACTAGGAGTGTGGAGGACCGATCGCCCACCCTTTGACGCAACGTTTCTGCAACGCATGCATATTATAAGCGCTTAGTTGATCCTGGTCGCACGTGTATGGCACGCTAATCCTAACAAAAATCGTCGTAGGTCCCCGCGGCCCTGCTTCCCAACACTGACTCTGGCTTTTGCGTACACGCAGAGGCACATACATAATCGGGAATAGCAAGTCACTAGTCTACTTGAAAAACGAGCAAGAGCCCCTTCATCTGCCGCAACATACTCACTCGTACTCGATTGCAAACATTTAACTGCATGCGTGAACGGTTCTATAATCGGTTTGTGTGGTCACTCTCTGGCTATAATTATATATACGTACGCGTGCATGAACAGTACCGGGTTGTCGTTGTCGTCTTCTAGTTCTGCTGGCAGTGTTGAAAAGACAGAAGTGGACGTATCGTCTTCTACTGACAAGTGTTGAAAAAAAGCGGTACAGAGTTTCACACCTAGTTTGTATGCTATTTTCAGCGAGGAGACTGAAAAAAATGGCGGCGCAGGTATACCGGTTTTGAGTCAAAAGTTTCTGGCTAGTCTCGATATGTCTACAACGAAACAATACTGGGACTGCTCTCTCCCTGGCCAGCTCCATTCAGGGGCATGACAGAGAGGTTGTACATATGGGAAGGACTATAGGGTAACCATGAGTGTGACTCGGGCTGGTGACTGACTTGTGGCGGCAGCTTACTGTAAGGCTAGTCAGGTCGTCACAGTGTTGGTGGTCAGGGGGTCGTGTGAAAGTTTTACCATGTGTGGTATGCTACAGCTGCACAGTGTCATTAACTCTGCTGTGTAGTGTAGCCACATCTCTTGGGCCGAGCTGACATGGAGCCTAAGGACTTGCCTGAGTTGCTCACTCATGTGATGTTCATTTGTCAATGTAGGCAGCCACCCTGGTACTTTCTCTGTCCTGATAATTCACAACTGCCCATAATATTTTGGCTTGCATCCGGGGTGGTTTTATATACTTCATGGGGGCAAGGCGGTTTTGTATGCAACTACATGAAATGTTGTTTATTGCTCTCTGTGATTCACATTTTCGTGATTCAATAGACACTTTTCAGTTCCGTCTCTACATTTCGGCCACAATATAAACCTATTTGTGAGTCGTCGTGACAGGGCAGAGTAAAAAGTATAAACGGGTGAGTACCTCAGGCTCCTCCTCCTCCCAAAGATCCTGGTATTCACGGCAAATTTATCACTGCTGCGATCCTAACAGAATCCATAGGTCCTCAGAAAAGCCATGTGTAGTTAGGTAGCAGAGTTTATAGGAGGAGGATATTCGCTGGCTTTAGCTTGTTGTAGAGTTCTGATAAATTTGGGGAGTTAAAAGGAAGGGAGTGTCAGCATAAATAATAATAAAAACGGGCCTAAAATGTTACTATGGTGGGAATTTAAGCCTTTATATGCAGGCCACATTCCAAATTCATCCCAGTGTTGAGGCAAACGGCTTCATACGTCAATCTTATTCTACGTCACTTGTGCTGCAGTAAAGACATTCCATTTGAATCCGGCTCGTTGCGCATGCAAAGCTCTATGACATGTAGCGCACGAAACCGAGACTTCCTACGACTCTGCGCTCACGGCGATCTAGACTTCCTACGAATGACCGAAGTTACATTTCCTTTTGGTACTAATTGACATGTCCCTAAGCGTGACTAATTGCCCAGACGTACCTACGTCTCTTATGCTGCAGTTTAAAGGACTTACCTGGTTTAAGTTATTCTCTGTGTTCAAAATTTCACAAAGCAAGCGATAAATTATTTGGTAAAACTATGAGCATCATTGCACATAATCGATAATCCAGGAGTATAATAAAATTGAAATATCTTGAGCATGACTTTTACTCCAGCCCTAGTTTCCTGATTCCGGCAGGGCATGCTACCACATACCTGCTATCAACAGATTTTGTGTACATCTTACCCACTAGGCAAGAAACCTGTTTGCAGCAATAAAATCCTCCGACATGATTGTCACTACTCTGTTCATTGGTACACTGTACACATGCACAGCAAGCTGTAGGCACAGTAAGAAATCTTGTGTTTTGCAGCAACAGTGTAGGTGTAGAAGTCAGCTCTTTGCATTGTGTACATGTGGAGTAGCAGAAGCATTCACCTGAATGCCAGGAAGCGTTTGTGTAAACTGTTTATACAGGTACTGTGTACTTCACTTATGACATACCTTTCTACCATACTGGTAGCATGTTTACACAGTACCTTTTGCTGCCATACGCTACCAATAACATGAACACTTGTGCCAATCGGACTACTCAGGGGACACCCTATTAGTTGTGTGTGCACACACATGCACATGGAAATGTGGATATAATGTGATGTAGTGAATGGTATGACCGGGAATCATTGTTAAATGTATTCATTGACTAGTATTTGTTCTTGTGTGCACATGCAACTGGACATACTAGTAAAAATGTGTTCTTGAAATATTATGATTGTAATCTACTGTCTCAATTGCCAGCTCAGTGACCATCTCGTGGAGTGCTCCATTCTCTCTGGATGTGACTGGTGTTGATCCTGATATCTGGTACTCTGTCCTCATCTACAATGTGACAGATGAGAACAACCCAACAGCCATCCTCTGTACTGACTGTATCAATATCACTGAGACACACTACACCTTCACTCCTGACTACCTCAGTCCTTGTCATGTGTACAACTTCTCTGTCATCCCTCTGAATGGAGCTGGTCAGGGAGAGAGCAGTGGTAATGTCACAAGTGGTAAGTTTGAATAGCAAGTATGCATGATGGAGCATAGCTACAATTTTGCACAGCAACCAAAGTGGAAGTTGAATCCCTGAATGATAGCTATTGTGAAGTTGAATTCAGTCATGTAAGTGTGCATAATTATTATATTTTAAGAAAGATTCTTATGTACTCCAACTGTTCTCATTTCTGAATATGATTAGTAATAATAATGGAAAATAATATTGTGTTGTTGTGCTTGAGGTACCGTATTTTCCGGAGTATAAGTCGCAATTGAAATTATCGGCATACGACTTATACTGCGGATGTGAGAAAAGGTGGGCGTTACCGTCGATGTACGTGTGTACCCGTGTGTAGCACACCCGGCGGCGCGACAGGTGGGCTCTATGTCAGCGAGGCGGTGCAGCTACACGGCTGCTTTTAAGCTTAAACAAGTTGAATACGGAAGAACCCTTAAACCCCACCCAACCACACGAAACACAGACAATAACATATAAACAGAAAGAGAGAGGCATGACCCTGGGTGCCCAGCCTTGAGAACCGGGGCGGTAGGTTAAAGAGTCTTTTATGGGCCCAACTCTCCGTCCCAACCACCCTTACACATAGTTAGAGAATAAATAGATACAAATCATGTAAAAAAACGACAGCTACAGGATAAAAACAACAGCCAGTAGAAAAATAGAAAGCCTCAAAGGACCAATAAATCCATAGAAAAATATAAAAACTCTGAAACTTACGCAGTACGACGATGCAACGGGGACATAAAAAACGTGCGCTATACCATACCATGCGAAGTTGAATTGTGTGATAACTTGCCTACACAGTTAGTGCATAACCAGTGTGCTGCTGTGCTGGCATGTTGACAGAGATGACATCTACCAGCTATGTCTGACAAAATCGGGAGACCTGGACACAGGAACTACTAGTCTCACCAGACCCTCACGCAAGAGAGTCCATACTAGGTTCCGGACTGTTTCAGTTTGTTTTTTTCCGTACTGTTCAGTTGTTTCAGTTTGAGTTTGAGTATTTCATTATAGTCCCTTCTGTTTTGTGTAAAGGAGAGGTAAGCCTAGATAGATAGTTTGGAGTTGGTCTGCTCCTACATACTGAGTGACAGGTTTCTGTGCCATAGCACAGAGTTTTCGAGGCTTGCCTTTGCCGCGCTTTGTGTTGCAGTTGTAGATTCGAACCCTGCCTGATGAGTTGCCCTGGTAGCTCAGTTGGTAGAGCGCTCGCATGGATTCAAATGGGTTCAAATCCCACCCAGGGCAGCTCTTTTTTTCTTTGGAAAAAAATAGTTGTCCTGAGTGTAGATAGTTGTGTTGTTTGCCTTTGCATTGCTTATGACCACATTTTTGTTCACATCAGCAACAAGCAGACAGCTCAGATGATTCTTGCTTAGGGTAGCAAAATCTATGACTGAGGTAGCCTTTGCCACAACGGATGGTTAGGGGGTTGCCTGTCGACGGGTCTACCGAATCCATACAACAATGTCTAGACGAACCTCTACAAGGGTGACGACGGCAGAGTCTCCGATGCGTTGGGGATAAATAGCAGGTCCCTCCGCTGTGCAGAGCCAGGCAGGCCAGGAAAGACGACGTAGATGCTCGCTCACTGGCTGCTCGGGGATCCCGTGGGACTGCCTCCACAGCAGAGTTCAATATTTCCAGGTGTTTTCGTTAAAAGCTGCCGTAGAGCATACGGTAGGCCGGCTGTATGATAATACGAACCTGGAATGCATTTGGCGAATGAGCGGTAATAGGATCAGGATATAGCCCGAAATATTTATGTGAAGCGGGTGTCTCTCGGATCGGATCGATCGATCTCTCCCAGAGACCCTCACGTGCTCGTGCGGGAGCACGTGAGGGCCTGGGCGGGCGGCGGCGCCGGGCATGGGCATATGCACCGGGCCGGCTTTGAAGTTGCGAGAAGGAGTACGGGAGAAGGCCTTGGATCGAGGCTGTATAGTGGCAGATCCGATATCCAGAGACTAAGAAGATCAGTATTTTCTGCGTAAGGGTTTTTATCACTGACACGGGTGTATCCCAGGCGCTAGTACGTACAATTGAAGGCGCTGTCGGGCGCGACTATTCCTGACGCCCTTTTTGACTTTGGTGCTCGTCTTATGCCCTGACTCCACCATCCCTGGTATAGCTGTCTGCCTTAGCTATAGGTCAAACCTTTTGACAATGTATCAACAGTTGGTGTCCTATGTGGAGAGCATCTGGCCAGCGATGTACTACTGTACTTATTCAACAAACCTTGACATTTACTCTCTAAGCTCGAGCCAAAAATATCTTTTACACCAACTTTCGACCAATATAAACATCCCCCATACGGGGATCATCTTCAGGGTGAGTGAGGATTTAGAGTAGATGTCAAGGTTTGTCGACTAGTCACACAGGCATGTAATATTGTTGTACTGTATGTATGTCTATCAGTGTCGCTAATTGTGTCCTCATGGTAAAGGTACAGTGATTAGCAGGGTATGAAGACAATATATATGTACTGGTGATCACATCTGTCTACCTAATATGTGTTGTCAGCAGTTGTGTGTGTTGGGCGCATGATATAAGGTTATGCTGTTACTTTACACGGATATGGTATATCTTGTCCAAATGTGTACGCAGGGAAGTGGTTCCCCACCCTCATGCATAAGAGAGGATTCAAATTTCAGTCATATTTTCAAGCAATATGCATATCTGTGTACCAGAGCCCTGACTAAGACTTGTTCTTGCATTGAGTGAGCTACTGTGTCATTGATGTGACATACTAGAATGAATGCCACCCATTGTTGACGAGCAAGCAAGAGCAGGTAGTGCCCATGCAGTGCCGCGTCACACATAAATAAATAAGTCCAAGAATAAATAAGAAAACTTTCCGCATTGAAACGACTAGGTAAGCTTCCTTTGCTCGCCAATTATTGTTGTGTGGTATGTCTGCACTTAAAGAGAGCTGCAAAGGCCAGCAAACGTGGCCCAGACTCACTACTTTAGAGGACATAGAACAACAGCCAAGTCTAATTGGCCATTAAGAATTTGGCAGTGAACCCTCAAGGTCCTAATCTATACATGTACAAGTCCACTCAGTCATGCTTGATTTAGTTGTCTTTTAAACTTTTTTGAGTCATTGCTGCTTTCCCTTTGCAGATTTATCAACAGCCAGAGATTAGCTCAGACCATGGTCATGGCTGCATGTAAGTCTACCATTCCTGGTTGCATTCCAGATATTACTGAAATATGTAAATTTTGCGATGTTATACTGGTGTTTACGATATTTGACAATGCGCGAAATGTCCCAACCATCCCCAGAAGAGACCGAGTCCTCCCAGCCACTCCCACCAGACCCCACTCCACCCCAGTCCCAGCTTCCAGAGGTCTCACCTCTTCAACTGCAGGAGAACTACCCACCCACTCCTCCACCACCACCACCTCCTCCACTCCAGTCCAGAGAGATTGAGGAGAAAGTGAGCACCCCTCTGAAGAAACGCCAATATCTCGATCCCCCAGGTTTGTAATGTAGAACTGCAGTTGCGTTTGGCCGTATGTGTGTGTACTAAGAGTACCATTTCTGTGTGTGCTTGGCTGTGTTGCCAAGTGTCTTAGTGTGACACTATAATAATCTGCTTCAGATCTCTCAACAATACACTTACTGTATGAGTGTACTTGAGCAGTCTAGTGCAAGAATAGCATATGTCCACTACCACCAATCTTTCTAGCATACTCCTTCAGACGATCATCGTTATATCAACCTAACCAGTCAGTAACCAACTCGGGTGCCTAGTCGAATTTTTAAAGGTCAAAGGTTAATCATTCGCGCATGCGCAGTACTAAAGGGTACTCGTGCGCCGTCTCGTCGTCCTTACCGCGCTGCAGCAAAGTGATACAGCGCCCTATGGCCTCCAAAGCAACGTTTGCAGGTCCCAGTGGGCTCTGCATTGAAGCAACGGTTGCCCTCACGCTTCGGTCTGCGGGAAATGGCGAGTCCACCAACGGCTCGAGCGACACTCCTGTGCGTCCGCGGAAGCGACAGAGAAGGCCCGAAACCTGGAAAAGAGCAGTCGCAAAGAGCAAGCGAGCCAAGGGGGAGGAGTATACCTCCCCCAGCACAGGAGTAACAGTCCTTTCCCGCGGAACTGGACCCGACTGCAGGTGCCGACGTCGGTGTTTCGACAGTGTCTCCCAGAGTGAAAGGGCGGCCATTCTTGCCGCGTTCTACGGGCTGGGGAGCAAGGACCTGCAGGATGCGCACTTGTTTGGGCTGATTCAATCTATTCCTGTGAAAAGGCGCCGGCCAAGGGGAGATGGAAGAACATCACGGCGAGCCACCTACACCTATGTGGTAAGTGTGTGTGTGGGTTGGTGTGCATTAACTAGAGACCATGCTTGTTGCATAGAAGTTGGTAACAGAAGCGACTCTGTACCCACATGTGGTATCCAGAGCATTGGTCGACTTGAAACAAAGCTTGGGAGGCTGTTCTTGCTATGAGTGTAGTGATGCTGGAGTATCTCTGCTAGGGCAATACTCATCCATGAATGTGCATGTAATTTGCTATGTATATACATGCACTTTCAAGTGTTTTTTTTATTACTCAGGTTCGTGTTGCCGGGCGGAGTGAGACTGTCTGCCAGAAAGCCTTTGCCTCCCTCTACGGTGTTAGCGTCTCTAGGGTACGCCGGATCGCTCAGGCCACCTCAACATCAATCTGTGCTCCAGTCGATAAGCGTGGGAAGCACCCAAGGAGATCAAGTGTCATAGAGTTGGTTTGAAGATTTCTGTGTACTGTTGTAACACCAGCACTGATTTTTAGTTGCTGTTTGCATTCTTTCACTTTGTGTGTCTGTTACCATGATCATTCTGTCCTGTACACATGCACCCACACTGATATGGTCCTGAACCTTATACTTGTGTATGTACCCAAGCCCAATTTCAAAAATCATGACAGATATTGTACTGTACAAAATGGTTGGTGAAATTTACTCATCAGTAGTGTCTGATTGTGCTCTGGATGAAAGGATGTTGTGATAGTACCCTTGAAACTCAGCAGGGACATATTTGTCCACTATCTTCCTCAAGTCAACAGCTTTCTTCTCCTTCAATTCAACTGGCTTGGAATACTTGAGAGAGGTAAGAGGATTGGGAAGTGTAGGAGTGCTACCACGCCTGAGAATAGGGAAACTGTGCCATTCTGCATTGGGATCGTATTTAACCCATACCTCGGTTGAATGTGTACTGGAGTATTCGAGTACTCGTGCATTGGAGATGTTCATGGATTTTTTCTTGTCGTTTTTTATAACCTTCTTAAAAAACTTTGAAAAATGCACATGCCACTCAAGAAACATACTCGTTTCACAAGCCACCACACTGAATGGTTTACGGACTCTGGCCTGTTTGATAACATTCATCCACTGCTCACAGGTGTAAATGCGCTCGTGCTTTCTTTTCTTAATCTCAGTCCGTCCAAAGTCCCTATCATTAGGGAGAAAGCTATGCCCTCGAACAGGAAAAGAGTGCGTTATTTTTGAAAATCTTCCAGAAAACACTAGTGTGAAGAGATAGCTCATTAAATTTGAATTTTTATTTTGACCTGGGCATCCATCAGAATAGAGGTAGAGTGTATCAATGGTTGTAGGTATATAAGACAAAAAATGATGCAAGCACGATATCACTTCATCGCTGCCCCTTTTTGCAAGTACCTCGGGCCAACAATACATACTCACGCTATTATTGCCGCAACTATGGATTCCAAATACATACATCCACAGCTGTTGCATATAAAATAAATCACCGACTGGAATGTGCGGCAATGGGATATTTTGTTGAAAATCAAAGGTAAGAGTTAAAACGGATTGGTCACTCTTCGACAAATTAGTTTTTTGACGAAGACTAGAGTAAAAAATTTCAGCTGAATCTAGATGCAGACGATGATCCTGTTGGATTTTCCGTTTGCAAGCTTGGTCAACTTGCAAGGCCAGCTTGTTCTTGAAGATTTCATAAGTAGGACACGTGTCTACCTTGGGCCTTCCAAATGTAAGATTGAATTCACTGTTAAAATTTTTGCATAGTACGAATACTTGACCAGGGGTGTTTCGCTATTGCTTTCATGTTTTTCAACATAAAGCCTGTGCATTTCAGCCACAGAGAGAAGGGGTGAGAGATACTTGCGTGCCTTGCTCTTCCCCGAAGAGTAGTGGGACTTTAGAGCGGGGACAGACTTAATGTGCTGACGAATTTGTTCCTTAACCTCACCACCCAGCTGAATTCGTGATCTCCTTGGGTGCTTCCCACGCTTATCGACTGGAGCACAGATTGATGTTGAGGTGGCCTGAGCGATCCGGCGTACCCTAGAGACGCTAACACCGTAGAGGGAGGCAAAGGCTTTCTGGCAGACAGTCTCACTCCGCCCGGCAACACGAACCTGAGTAATAAAAAAAAACACTTGAAAGTGCATGTATATACATAGCAAATTGCATGCACATTCATGGATGATGAGTATTGCCGTAGCAGATATACTCCAGCATCACTACACTCATAGCAAGAACAGCCTCCCAAGCTTTGTTTCAAGTCTACCAATGCTCTGGATACCACATGTGGGTACAGAGTCGCTTCTGTTACCAACTTCTATGCAACAAGCATGGTCTCTAGTTAATGCACACCAACCCACACACACACTTACCACATAGGTGTAGGTGGCTCGCCGTGATGTTCTTCCATCTCCCCTTGGCCGGCGCCTTTTCACAGGAATAGATTGAATCAGCCCAAACAAGTGCGCATCCTGCAGGTCCTTGCTCCCCAGCCCGTAGAACGCGGCAAGAATGGCCGCCCTTTCACTCTGGGAGACACTGTCGAAACACCGACGTCGGCACCTGCAGTCGGGTCCAGTTCCGCGGGAAAGGACTGTTACTCCTGTGCTGGGGGAGGTATACTCCTCCCCCTTGGCTCGCTTGCTCTTTGCGACTGCTCTTTTCCAGGTTTCGGGCCTTCTCTGTCGCTTCCGCGGACGCACAGGAGTGTCGCTCGAGCCGTTGGTGGACTCGCCATTTCCCGCAGACCGAAGCGTGAGGGCAACCGTTGCTTCAATGCAGAGCCCACTGGGACCTGCAAACGTTGCTTTGGAGGCCATAGGGCGCTGTATCACTTTGCTGCAGCGCGGCAAGGACGACGAGACGGCGCACTAGTACTGCGCATGCGCGAATGATTAACCTTTGACCTTTAAAAATTCGACTAGGCACCCGAGTTGGTTACTGACTGGTTAGGTTGATATAACGATGATCGTCTGAAGGAGTATGCTAGAAAGATTGGTGGTAGTGGACATATGCTATTCTTGCACTAGACTGCTCACTTATTCTGCATGCTAGGTGAAAATATGTCAGCTAACACACACAAGGCCTTCCCTCCATATAACATAACTGTATACATTATTATCTTCTAAGCCATTCCCTTACTCCCACCCACAGGAAACTACCAGGAGAAGATTTTGAAGTGGCTTCACACTGGAGTGAGTCGTGGTTTCCATGGGCCGGATTTACTCATTGAACTCTGCTCTGGGGGCTCCCTACTGGGTTGAGCTCCCTTCTTCAGCAGCCGTTCAGACATATTATTATAGACTGAGGCTGCTGAGATTTTGCTGTTATGAAGGACAATGATATCCCTGATGTCAGCTTTTAAAAAATACTGTTGTGTATGCTTGTCTGACAAGTAGTCATGTTCTCCCACACTTTTTATCTGGAATTTTATTGTGCATATTTTAATTATCCAAGGTTTTTGTTCTGATGAACTGTTATAATATTATCGTCTGTTAAGATGCCCACGCATGAATTGACTTGACGGTGCACCTTGTACGATCTGGACCCAGCACACAGTGATGATGTTAAACTGTGTTAAGTTTTTGCACTGTGGTGTAGCCTCGGTTAGCAGCTCTAGTTTCTTACTCTATAATTGCAAGTGGAAAAATCATTTCAAGGGGATATAGGGATGGCTTGAAGCACCAAAAAGGAAGAAACAAGGGGTCATTACACAGCAAAGATGCACAAAGCTACATGACACCATCCCTATAATAGGGATGGTGTCTGGTGTCATATAGGGATGGTGTCATGTATAGCGTTGTGCATCTTTGCTGTGTAATGACCCCTTGTTTCTTCCTTTTTGGTGGTGTTTCAAGCCATCCCTATATCCCCCTTTCATTTTGAAGAAATGATTTTTCCACTTGTTTCCACTGTTAATTTTTTACGGCTTATGACAACACTGCATTTTCAGTCACTCTGATGTTCATGGGTATGTTGTAGAGGATAACTGATGAAAGCAATAGCTAATGGGCCAGGGCTGCAGCTCGGTGAATGCGTAGTGTCTCCAACAAGGACGCAGTTAGGTTGTGGCTCATGGTGGTGGTTTCATGGGCAGGCTTTAGTAATCGCTATAACCTGGGGGAAGGCTCATTTGTACCTGCCAGGCTCGCGCCAACACCGCGCAGACTGCCAAGTTGCTCCTCGTGCAAATCAACAGCAAAACGCAAGCTAGCCAGTTAGAAATGTGTAATATTGACTTACAGAAGGCACTGGACGATGAGAGTTCTTCTGCAGGCATCCTAGCTTAGTCTCGTGAACCTAATATATACGCGCGCACCGCATTGGAAACGCCCTCCTCTCGGCGCATGCGGCGTTGTTCAGTGACTACTGAGGAAGAGCTCAACCATCTAACGTAGTGACTTGCGACAAGAAAGAAACGATCGCTTGATATCCGCGTGACTATTGCTAGTGATTTTCAAGCCATGGTGAGTCATTCTCGCCGAGTTTTGAGGCATACGCGAATCACGTGAGATGTCACCCATGTCGTCATCAGCAGATCCTCACTGCATGCACCGCGACCGACGCGCGCGCGCTCTGACCATGAATTTTTTGATACACAGCATGCAGTTATTTGGGGGAGAAAAACAATTAATAAAAATATTGTGAAAACGACCGTTTAGATTGTAAGACAGAAGGAGAAATTTAAGGAAGACCGTCAGAAGATGGTGCGAGAGAAGGAGACCGACGAAGCCACATGGTGGCATTCCCACGCCAGAGAGACGACCAAACAGGTGTTTCGTAGAGTGTGCCGGGTCTACAGAATTAACTCTTTGCCCGAGGAAATTTCTTCTGATTGTAGATATGGAGCCAGGAGCCCAGCCCCCAAGCGCCCCGACCACCATAGGCTAGGCACACATTCGACCCCCCAGCATGCAGCCATAAATTATGGCGCGCCGTTTGGATTTTGGATAAAGGCGAAAAATCTTGGATTTAGGCGGCGACCAGGTAAGGCGATCATATTCTGTGATCGGGTAGGAGAGTTGAAAGGTCAAATTTCCTAGAGTGCCTAGAGGGTGGCGCCTGTAGCCATTGATCGGTACCTTCCCGCCACTATATACTGGTTTTTTCGAGTAAGTTACCCTTTGAACTCTCTCACCTGGATCATTATTCATGAATCGTCGCGGTAGGAAAGTTTCGTGCCGCATATAACTGGTCGTCGTCCTCAATCCAAGATTAGTTTCCTTGAAAAGCTTTCGTCGCTTGATAAACAATCTTAGCCGTAGAAATTCGTCGCCACGAAAGAAGAATTGTCACTACGAAAGGAGAATCGACGCCTCGAAAATCGATTCGTCGCTCAGAAAACGATTCGTCGCCACGATTACTGAGGTTTACGGGGAAAAATCGTTTTGACGCGCCATAGTCTCGTGGTGGTGCACGCCGCGCGCGCACGCGACGACGAGACTACGCGCGCGCATTCATGACACCACACCCCCGCGCGCGCGCGTGATGCTGTATTATAATTATGGCGGGGGGGGGGGGGGGGGGGGGGGTCTAGTATATATACCCGCGCCTAGCTGCCGCGCCTATAGTCTCGTATATATACCCAGCCGCCCTCAGGATATAAACGGCCGGACCAGGGGACACCCAGGATCGAGACACCAAGATACATCAGTATTCTCAAGGTGAGGGACACTTTCTCCCAGTGAAAGTTGTCTTAGTCACCACTTCACAGCTAGCCATGCACTCGTGTAATAATACAACATCAAGGCGCTGTCGGACGGCGCGGCTTGTTATTGCCTTGGCTGCGCGTCGACTCTACACTCTGGTATACACCGCCTAGTTGGCTGCTTTAGGTCACACCTCTTTTGGCGATGAATAAAAGATAGCCTTGCTGGTAATGCCAATTGGTGCCCTCTGCTGTGTGTGTACTCTGGTAAACCTTGACATTTACTCCAGCGAAATTATCTTTTTGCACCTAAGCTTCAAAGGGAGCATCTTCAGGGTATATACATCAGTGCAAAAAGATATATTTTTGGCTGGAGTAAATGTCAAGGTTTGTTGACTTTCCTAGCCATAATTATTGCTGTACTGTTGTACACCTATCACATCACCAATAATTGTGTCCTCCTGGTAAAGGTACATAACCATGTATAAGGATTGATTAGCAGGGTTTGTGTGTATGCCGCTGATCACATCTTCTATATTACTAATGTTGTCAGGTGTGCAGGTGTAGTGTAAGGAATGTTTGTCATGCCCTATTTTACACAGATGGTATATCGTGTCCAAACATGAAAGTGCGTGGTTCCCCTGCCCTCATGCACAAGACAGGAATTATGCTATATTTCAGTCATATGTGATATCTGTATACCAGAGCCTTTACTTGTACTTGTACCTGTTGCATTGAGTGAGCTACACAGTGTCATTGATGGGACATACTAGGACGAATTGTTGGCGAGCAAGCAAGAGCAGTTCAATATTTCGCACATGTTTTGTGCGTATTTAGAATCACATAGAACATTACGGTACGGTACGACTCAATACTTAGGGTCTAAAACAACAGCCAAGTCTAATTGGCCATTAAACAAATTTGGCAGTCACCTTCAAGGTCCTTATCTATACATATTATACAGTGGTCCTTAATTTAATTGTCTTTACTTTTTTTGAGTCATTGCTGCTTTCCCTTTGCAGATTTATCAACAGCCAAAGATTAGCTCAGTTCATGCCATGATCATGGCTGCATGTAAGTCTACCAATCCAGTTTGCATCCCAGATATTCCTAATGTATGTAAATTTCGCGATGTGGTGAAGTTATTTTCGCGATGTAGTGAAGTTTTTTCAGAGATATTTGAGTATGTAAATTAGATACTAGCCTAGAAATTTAGGTAGTTAATGTTCTTAATGATAATAACATCATTGAGGTGACAAGAATGTTTGGTAGGCTTATTTTATACCAACAGAAATGTCACCAGCGATAGTTTGACTGCAAATGTATTGCGCGCACACTTAGTTGTACACATGTTGCTATCACTTGATTTTCACTAAACCTGTCAGTCTTTTAAGCATTGTCTGTGCTAAACTTGCTAAATGTAAACAGAGACAAGTATGGAAGCGGTATTGTTTACTGAAGGGTAGCTACCAGAGAGCATAAACGAGTATACTCCCTGGACAATAAAATAGACAACTGTGAATGCATTGATGTTAGCCGACTTTCTGCACTATACCACTAGTAGTGCCATAATGGGATTTGAAACCAAAGCGGATTGGTAACTAAATGATGGGCAGATAGCTAAAATACTTTCACCATAGCTAAATGTACAATAATAATATTATTATATAATTGTACACTGTACAATACCAACTTCCTGTCCTGATGCAACCTTGCAAACGTAGCTTATTCAGTGAAAGAAGCCATTTGAATCCATAATGTATCACAAAATGGTGTCCACAAATATAAGCAAATTTTCGCTAACATTAATGGCACCCAATGGTATACTTTGCACTGACGTGTTTCATGCCTGTAAACCTCTCAAATGCAGCACTTTCAGAGAAAACCCCACATTATTTATAACAGTATGGAATCATTAATTTATTCCTTGTCACATGTTTTCCACGTGTAAATGGAATCATATGCTGTATTTTATTTCTTGTACTACCTCAGCATAGTTGTAGTGTAGTTTGGGGGGGCCTTTCTAGTCTAGTTCCCTAATTACCCTCGGCGCGCATGCGCAGCGAGGGTACAATAGTTGGGTCTGTCTGTCTGTCTGTCTATCTGTTTGTTTGTCTGTTTGTCTGTTACTCTCAATCTCACTTCTCGAATGTCTGTTCGTCTCACAAAGGATACGACCTACTTAATGGGCGATGAAGGTCAGAAAATTTGTGGGGTTTTCTCTGAAACTGCTCCGTTGCAAAGCTACAGCGCGAAAAAGCCAATATGCAAATACGCAACGGACGGGATGGCTTACCACGGTCCGATCGATCCGCGTGCTCTGCGTACCTCGGAGGCACCAGAAGATGCAATGCAGGGCGTGTATCTCCACTTGCATGCTATCTAGTAGTGTGGTTAGCCCGCGTCAGACTCTGCGCGAGCTGGCAAGAGACCACGAGTAACAGCTAAAACTAAACCCAGCCCATCAATTAGTGGTACTGCGCATGCGTTTACTTATGCGTGCGCGTAACTGTGCGCCGAGGGTTTGCACTTCAGTGCTTTTCATTGTACGATCACTTGTGTTTCAAGATCACACTGTCGATATTCTTGTGTTAACTTACAGGTGGAGGTGAAATTCTGGTGTTGCTTCTACTAATTCCAGCCCAGTGTTTTGCACAAGGTAATATTAATCCTCGATTCTGTTTTGCTATCGCCTAGCAACCTAATCTAATTGGCACCTATGGTAAGTAGATCCTACGGGACAAAAAGTTTAGGTCATGAGTGTATAAGCATAAAACATACGTAATCTACATATAGGTCGGATGCGGAGCCGAGGTGACTACGCGTGGTAGAGTGCCGAGGGCTCCCAAGCTGTCGGCTGCACTCGGGCGCTACTAGGGAGCCCGAGGCACTCTACCACGCGTAGTGACCGTGGCGACGCGTCTAACTGGTTTAGATCCATTGCGAAGATATGGCGACGCCAGGCGAGCTGTTCAGCAACGAGATACTATCTTGTCTGGACCAGAGAAGGAGCTCGACATACTCATGCTCGCCGCGAGCCAACAGTACGAATCCTCGAACGCTCCGCCCACAACAACAACCGACAACAACAGTGCGCGTGCGTTGACTACGAGACCCGCCCCCACCACAACCACAGCGGTTCCTTCACGCTTCGCTCCACCGAAAACGAGTGAAGAGATACAATAGATCGTCCGGGGCAGCGGGATCTACTGAAAATAGATCCCGCGTTAGGACCAATGAAATTGCGCGATTTCAAATCACTGGGATCTACATGATAATATCCAAACATAAACCGTACCAGTACGAACTCGTTTATACGTGGCAATGTCACATGTACACGCTCCAACTGTTTTTTGTTAATCTTTTTCAGAGATTCTCCATGCTCCCGAGAGTACAACAGTCTTTCTAAACAAACCGGCAGTTTTTACATGTGAGACAGGAGGTGGCGACACTTTGTGGCTAGTCAATGGAACACAGCTGGGGCTCCTGCCTGACATACGTAGTGACCTGGTTCTCTCAGAAGAGATTACTACTCCTGAAGGGAGTTCAGTGCAGAATCTGACCATCCCAGCCAGACCCCAGTACAATGGAACTAGAGTTCAGTGTGCTTCAGTGATATTTCGTGGCCCTGTAGTGGAGAGTGACAATGCCACATTGACAATTCAAGGTTATAATTCTTTACCTCCAACTGTTTGCTAACCCTCCACATGTATTCACTTTCTGTGTGTCTGTTTGTTATCCCTCTGCACACATGCACGCAATGAAGGTTACAGTACTTTGCTTGTACGTGTTTGTCTGTGTGTCTGTTTTCAATATTCTGCACTATAATCTACGATGTAGTCAATGGGATATATGTACCAATGACTTTAAGGCAGCAAGGTCATTGATAATTTTTGTGAAACCACTGCATTTGAGAGATGTAGTGTGAAAGACATGAGTGGAAAAGCCAATATGCTAATAAGCAATGGTCTACCTCAACCCATAAGCACACCGTGGGGGGCACACAGTTACTTGGAGGACGAGTATCCAGTTCAGCAGTGCTCCAAACGCTATTCACAGATTTTGCTAGCTTACCCATAGAGCAAGAAACTTGTTTGCACATTGTAACATTCATAGGTAGGTACACTGTAAACACATGCACAGCAAGCTAGCTGTAGGCACAGTCATGTGTTGCTGTAGAAACAGTGTAGGTGTAGAAGTCAGTTTCATTGTGTACTCATGTCCACTAGCCCTCACTCAGATTGTGTATACATAGCATACAGTACTTACAGTACTTGGGTTGTGGGTCAGTTTGTGATTCCCCTGAGTGCCGGAAGTGTCTGTTTATACAGGTTCCTGTACTTCCTTATGACATACTTTTCTTCACATTGCACTAACATGCCATTTGTACTACACATTAGCCTGTCCTCCTCTACAATGTGACATACTCAGAGGGCACCTTATCAGTTGTACACACACATGCACATGGAAATGTTGATATAATGTGGCATAAATGGACTCACGTAGTGGATTAGTAATGTAAAAGGACTCCAAGTAACATTTACTCAGTTCTACAACCTAGTGGCCAAATATTTAGGCAAATGTCAATTCTAGGTGGATGGTATGACCTTGAATCATTGTTGTGTATTTTTTGAATGTATATTGACTAATATTTGTTCTTGCACGCACATGCAACTGGACATACTAGAAAATGCATATAAATTGCATCCAGGTCCACCACTGTCAGCAGTAGGTGATTTGAAAGTTGATGCTAAAAAAGCCAGCTCAGTGACCATCTCGTGGAGTGCTCCATTCTCTCTGGATGTGACTGGTGTTGATCCTGATATCTGGTACTCTGTCCTCATCTACAATGTGACAGATGAGAACAACCCAACAGCCATCCCCTCTGCCAATGTTACTAACACAAGTTATACCTTCACTCCTGGCTCTGCCACTCCCTGTCAGAAGTTTCTCTTCTCTGTCATCCCGTTCAATGGAGCTGGCCAGGGAGAGAGCAGTCCCAATGTCACTGGATATGTTATCAACTGTGAGTACATTTTATAGCGGCAATGCACTGATTATCCACATCTGCTTCAAAGGTCGTTTTTATTACCTACTCTTTATGTCCCAATGCTGCATTATTTTTTAGTAGTGTCCCTGCGTCTGAGGTATAATATTGAACTTACATGCTACTACTTTTGCCATCCTGTTCTCTCGCACACAGTGTCCTTGATAGCTTGTAGCCTAGCTTCAGATTCTGTGTTGATAGCTGGGTATGTATACCTCTTTGACGCTACACCACCTGTGGATGTGTGCAAATGCCCATACCAGTTCTTGCACTTTGTTCAAATGTTTTAGCACTTGCCGTATTTGCCATGTTTGCAATTTGTGCGAAAATGGCACAGAATTTCACCAGAAGTGGTGCAGACCCATACTGATGTTACTTACAATAGATAACTGGACGATATGAAAACTTGTGATTATATTTAGGGTACCTGCTGCCATTCCTGCATGAAGAGACCATTCACTGCTTGTTCTCCTTTCATTATAGCTTCAGCACTTATAACGACTCAGATGCAAGCTATCTCTAGGGAGAAGACCAATGTTACCTTTATGGCAAGGGTCAGTATTAATTGTAGTACCATACACAATACTAAAATTTTTGTCTGTTATTTTTGTGATAGAGTAATCCCACCAGTGAAATTTGTAGTAGCTGGAGAGTCACTCCTGATGTAATGGATGATCTTGTCCTTGAAAAGCCACCATCACCAGAAGGACCGAATGTCACCTACCAACTCCGTGCTGACAAGAGATATTCATTCCTGGTGTCCCTTCCTATTATCACTAGTGGAGAAACCCCCCCACGGATCAATTTCAGTAATTTTTTGTGTTGTGACAACCAGCAGTACTGTACAGTTATGCCCTTAAGTGGAAGTGTGCCTTTTGTGCCCAATACTACATGTATATACATAGTAGATCCACAGTTTTCTGTATTCACATGAAACACTCATATGCTGCTTACATCTGTGTGGTCATTGAACATTCCTTGTTATGTATGAAAAATCCATATGCATACCCAAATATAGTCAATCATGCTGGATATTGTGCTGTTATCTATTGTGCCAAGGGCAATGATTGGATATAATTATGTGTCTACAGCTACATATGATGTCCAGAGTGCTGCTGCTGACACCACCAAGGGTACCAATAATGAGATAAAGTTGAATGGAGAGTTCATTAAAGACACGACGGCTCTGGGGTGTTTCGTAGTTTTACAATGTGAATATGGAAATCCTGATGTGTTCATAGCCCTACTACTGCCTGATGACTCCAGCACTTATGTACAGAGTACTATTCATGACATTTTATCTTCAACGTACCACATGTTCGTCTATGACCTTGAGGAAGATGGACTGCCTAACAGCCATCCTGCTGTTGAACAGAACACTACTGTCACTGTTGTGGGGAACGGTGAGTTTCTGCTGATTTATACATTTGGCTTTTATTCCTCATGCCAATTTCTATTGCAGGTCCCATCGCTGATGCAGAATCTGAATTTATAAACAATGCCAGTTTGTACTGGAATGGGTCAGCAGTGAATGTCAGGTGTGAGTTCAAAGAAGGTATAGAGGGAGCCTCATGTGTCCTGGTCTATCGAGAGTATGGTAACAAGACACTAGTGGTGGAGGAATATACTCAGAACACTGTCTTCCCTGTGACTCTGACTGTTGGTGGAGATCTGGAGAAATACACATTGGCTATATTTGGAAAAGATGGTTCCATGGTCGATCAAAGACCAATTATTGCAGGAAGAGTGGATGTTACTGAGACAACTACACCAACTATTACTGTATCGGCATCCTCTGGTATGTCTAATTAGCCCTTGGCTTGCATGTGAAGTATGGTAATTTCTTTTTAACCCTTGCCATGGATGCATGCACAGTGGTGGTTACAGTAATTGGATTGCCTGCCTGACTACAAGTTAAACCTTATCTGCTACACATATTGTACACATCAACGCTATGTGCCCGCATTCCTTGCGCCAAGGGCCTGCACTTTATTGCTTTTTCATTCTGTCAGTTCTTGTATAGTGATGTACCTACAGAGATAATGTCTTCCTGTTTTCTAGATGGAAGCACATCACCAATTGCTATTGGAGTGTCAGCTACTGTATCGTTTATCATAGTTACTCTTGTCATCTTGGCTGTAGTTGTGCTGATTTTGTGGAGGAAGGTAATTTGTGTCACTAATTTTCCATCAGAAATGTTCATATCTCTTATTGTAGTCACACAAAGGTGGTTACAGCTCCTCTGATGTAGTTCCAAGTTACTTTTGTTCTCCTTCCCCGAGTGAATGCAGTAATGCTAGTGTAGCCAGCGGTTCTCAACTGATATCAGATGATGGTGGCACCAAACCTAAAAAGGATGAACATGCTGAAGGAGAAGCCAAACCTCCATTTAGTGGGAAGACCTCGTACCAAAGACAGGACAGTGGCGTAAGTGTGAGCACTCCTCCAGTGATGTCCAAACAAAAGGGGATGTACACGGATGTGAAACCCTCAACATCAGGGGTGCAACCCCCTATCCCAGAGGACACCAGAGTCCAGTACCAGGAGATTGACACTAGAACTACTCATGTTCGCTGATGATCACATGATAGTCACATGACTCATGTTGTGATCCTCTCTTTCCTCAGAAAATGGCCCGTTCTGCCTATGCTGACTTGGGACCTCTTCCTACCAACAGGCCAAAAACCCCCAAGATTGAGACCAAGACACAGGGCCCCTATGTTGATGTTCTACCTATTGCCGCTACTCCTGTGACTGGCAATGGCAATAGAGGTTAGTAGTAATAGTACCATGTAGGTAATTGTAAGGCTGTGTTCTTCTACCTAATGCAGACAAGAAGAATGCAGACAAGGCAACACCCAAAGGTTGAAAGGCTGCAATGCCCCTTTACTTGTCCTACATTACTACATGTCTCCTCTTCCCCTAGGACCCCCCACAGTGGAGTCAATGATGTCACTGTTGTGGGGTGTGGCAGGTCGTTGGAAGGAGATAGCAGAGGGTATGGAGTTTGATGAGGATCTGATTGATGAGATAGACACCAACAACGACATGGATGAGGGCTGTCTGCGGGTGTGTGTGGAGATGTGGGTTTTCAAACTACAGCCATCCTGGGAGAAACTATCTCGTGCACTGAGAGATCTTGGGGAAGAGGAACTGGCCCGTCAGGCCGGGAATAAAGGTAGTGTTGTAATGTGTAACACTTGGCAGTGGCTGTTTCCTACAATTGGCATACAGAGCCACAAGAGCAGTGGCAGGTACCGAGTAGGCAGACCAGTGACTCAAGCTCAAGTGGAATCGGTAAATTACTTCACCTGTGTGGAAGAACTAAGTGTTGTTGAATGGTGTTCTGTGCTGCAGTTGCTGATGCCTCATCTCAGTCCACTGACTTCAGTGGTGAGGTGGTACTGAGAGTGAGAAGACGCAGGCGCAGCTCGTGACTGATGGCAACAATGAAGATGGAAGCAGGGGAGGCAAGGTATGTCCTGGACATGTAGCTGACTCTGTGCAGAGTGAGCACAACATGCTCTGAATATCCTAGAAAATGATGCCGAATAATTGTTCAAGTGGCGAGCAAGATGCCAGATCTGCATTTTTGGCTTACCCTGCTCTCCACGAGGAGGCTCCAACTGTCAGTGGGAGCAGTGAGGAGGATGAGGATATCATGTGTGATGTTGGGACTAACGCCACTGTCGGAATCAGAGCAGCGTGGAGAAAGTTGGCAACTCAGTAGCCATGTTCTGTGTGAGATGTATTATAACTGTTTTTACAGTGACCATTGTGAGTGGCACTTATCTCTTCGACTTTCCCTACAAACCTTCTCTTGAAGGTAAAATATACACAGCTCAGTTGTGCATTAATAAC